CTGACCTTTGGTACGACGAATACCTGTGCCGTGGACCACTTTGCAGAGATCAAAGCAGTTCTGCAAGAAAAGCCCGCGTGGCAGCGTATCTGGGTGCACATTGATGCCGCCTATGCCGGTGCGTCACTCGTTGCGGATGAGTGGCAGTATATTGCGCAGAACTTTGCGGAGGGTGTTGACAGCTTCAACACGAATATGCACAAGTGGCTGCTAGTCAACTTTGATGCTAGGTAAGCTTTTCACTCCAATGGTCTGTGGGCAAATTTTGAACTTCAGTCTAACATCCCCAAGTGTTCTCTTTGTCCGGAACCGCTTAGACCTCACGAGTGCATTGGATATCACACCAACATATCTACGCAACCCATACTCAGATATGGGTAATGTAATTGACTACCGGAACTGGTCTATTTCTCTCGGCCGCAGATTCCGCGCACTGAAGATTTGGTTCGTGATTCGGAGCTATGGTCTCAACGGCATGAAAGCGCACATCCGCAAGACCATCGGGTTCGGCGATCTATTTGCTGGCTTGGTGCGCGGTCGGTCCGATCTATTTGAGATTGTCACAAAGCCAGGCTTTGGCTTGACTGTCTTCCGCGTCAAGAACCCCCAGGCTGTATCTAACGGGGCCAGTGGATCATCTGATCGCGTAGCCAAAGATGAAGTTGCCGACGGTCTGACCAAGAAGATCTCCGAGTTGGTGAACACGCGGGGCGAAATCTTCATCACCTCTACCGTCATTGATGGCGTCTGTGTTATCCGGGTGATCAGTGGCAACGCTTTGGCTGAAGAGAAGTATATCCGCAATGCCTTTGATATTATCGTCCGTACAACGGAGGAGGTGTTGGAGGAGGTGTTGCAGGAGCAGAAGTGAGATGAAAATAATGATGATCTTGTAGTAGATATAGACGCATGATGGTTGATGTTCTTGTACATACATATCTAGACGATATCAAAGCATATACATACAAAATTCTCTTGCATAAAGTATCTTTTTTTGCCGCCTTCGTATACACCTAAACGGACATATCAAAAGACTTCTCAAAAGACTTCTAAAAAGAACGTCTAATAATACCAACAAAAGGCACAACGCCGCATATGCGGCCGACTATCCTTATAACCAATCAATTAGAGCAACAAAGTACTCTCCTCTGATCAACGTACCTTTCCAGCTTTATCTTGCTCCCCCACACTAGTAGCTATGTGGAGATTGTGGATATTAACTCTCATCTCGCTTGCATATTCACCCCACGCGGGGTGGGCACTAGTATAACAAGTTCATTCCTAGAAAGCACTTACCAATATCCATCTTGCCTTTCTAACTACACCTATACCAAATAAGAATGCCTTCTCTAAAGCCCTCGTGAGTTAGTCTCTTCCCACCTACGTACACAATTAATGCTGATGATCACAGGTATGTCCTCGTCACCGGCGCCACGGGATTCATTGGCGCCCATGTTGTCGACAACCTCCTAGCCCGCGGATTCTCAGTCCGAGGCTCAACAAGATCCAAGCAAAAGGGTGATCAGATGAAGGCTGCACGCCCTCAGTACGCTTCAAAGCTTGATTTCGTCGTTGTGGAAGACTTCACCCAGATCGGGGTTTTCGATTCTGCAATGGATGGCATTGATGCAGTTATCCATGTAGCTAGCGTAGGTAACTCACAATTTTTGTTTCTGACCGAATGGACGTACTAACACCTCTCACAGCCCTTCTTCTACGACACAACCAACAACGAGCAGGAATTGATTTTGCCCGCCATCAACGGTGTCAAGTCGATTCTTTCGGCCTCCGCCAAGCCAGAATCAAAAGTCCAGCGTCTTGTTATGACATCCTCCTTCGCCTCCGTGATCGACCCAAGCAGCACTCCGGAACCAGGATTCACGTATAGCGCCGCAGACTGGAACCCGCTGACATACGAAGAAGCAATCGATGTGAGATCTGACTCTGTCACCGCATACCGCGGCTCCAAGAAGTTCGCCGAGGTCGCAGCATGGGAGTTCGTCAAGGAGCAGAATACCAGATTTGACCTGGTGACTCTCTGTCCTCCTATGGTTTTCGGTCCGGTTGTGCACCCGGTGCCGACAGTGGAGCAGCTCAACGAGTCAAATATGATGCTCTGGAGTGTAGCTGCAGGTGCAGATCCACTCCCTGGAACACGGGTCCCCGGTTGGATTGATGCTCGCGATCTTGCTGAGGTGCATGTTCAGGCTTTGCTTACACCCGAGGCTGGTGGGAAGCGATTTGTGGCTGCTTCGCCGGAGCCGTTCTCGTACGAATATGCTGCGGATATCATTCGTGATGGATTTGAGTGGGCGAAGGAGACTGTGACTACGAATTACAAGATAGGTGAGAAGCCGAGTGCCTCTTATGGGATTGATGGAGAGACTGTAGCTCGGGAGTTGGGGGTGAAATACCGGCCCTTTAAGGAAACTGTTGTCGATTTGGTTGGACAGATTCGGGAACTCGCCGCATAATTTACAGAAAGGTCGACTTGAAGATACATGGAAGTTATTGAGATGCCAACCCAAGGGAAGGAAACATAGGTATCACACTGCATAGTGACCACGAAGGACATGTCTCTTTTTGTCCTTCTCGGGTTTATATACCTTCCTATCTATACCTGTGACATCCTTACATTTTGTGTTCCAAGGTTCCAAGGTTAGTCACAAGTCATTTCCCAGACGGGGCTTAGTATCCGAGCTCTATGATGATGCATGATGTGGAGGCTTTCCCGGTAGGTTCGTCGAGAATGTCACTACCGGAAATACTGCTGGGATATAAAACTTAACGATGGGTACAAATGGGGGCAACCTATTATCAAAACGGAAATATAGCTATGCGCAACTGTTCAGCGCGAGTTATTCCTAAAGGAAGAAATCGAAAAGGTCTATATGAGCTCAATCGAGCATAAGGAAATACAACTATACAAGTGGGCTGATGAGCTAGTGCTCTTTGACTAAGAATGCTAGCGCCTTAAGACAACTCTTTATATCGCCCAGTCTGATTGTAGTTCAACAGAACCCGCAAGAAACAGGTACTTCTCTTTGCGAGAAAACCCCCGCTGGCATCTGGAAAGTAAAGAGCTACGTGAGGATTATGCGAATCGAGGTGGTTGCTATGGTAGACAATGCAAATTCTACGAAAGGCCACTAGATCCTCATCGGATAAAGGGATAGGGACATTGCACAATTGAATGTGCTTGCTACTATCGCCAACTCGGATTTGAGTTGCAAGATATAGATTAGAAGTTGTTCTAGCCTGGTTTTGATATTTCGAGTCGTCGCATAAGCGAGTATAGTCGTGCTATCTTTCGCGTTTATATCTGGGCGTTGGAGTGAAATGAGATATTGGCTCTTTCTTTTTATGTTGGTAGGTTTCCCGTAGCTGAACTCGCAACTTGATACACGACCGTTGGGTGGACATGGTTATTCCTTTCCATTGTCAAGGCTACTCAACTTGGCACCTAGTAACAAACTGCATGTACAAGTCAATGTTACCCTAGTTATATACCTGGTCATTTCAAGAGCCTTGGAGGTTTTCAGGGACAAATCAAAGATTCTATTAAAACACATTCCTGATTATATCTAGACAAGTCCTATGCGGTTTATGCTTTACCTACCTTTACACATAAATCTAAAAGACTACCAAAAAGACATTACAAGGCTGCATAAGCGACCGACTATTCTTGTAAGTACTAATTACACTCTGAGGATCAGTAAAATACAAAGATACACTCAACGTAAACGTATTAAGACACTTCCGAGGAAGCCGATACCTTCATCACCGAATCTATTCACTAGCTCTTGGAGTTATATTAGGACCCTCAAAGCGCCAACCTCAAGATATATCAATTGAATCTTGGAGTATACTGTCTGGTGCTGCCTGCTTCGAGAAAGCACACATATTATTAGGGAGATACGAGCGATTAACCGAACCATTCCAAGGAAGGTTCCTCTTGGCAATGCTCCTCAGGACCCGCCCCGGTTTTAGATCATCAAATTTGGCCCCGAAAGCCCTGGAGGGCTGAGCCCCTTTCCCACTCGTAATCGTAACGCATTGAATGGGTCTATTCCAACCTTGGAAGGTTGTCAGCCCGTTACGTCAATCTCTGCGGGGATTATTCTATCCAATACCCACTAGAAACAGATCATCGACTGGCTCACAGCCTTGTTTTCTCCACACAATTTCCGTCACTATTTCCTTCTATACGATGGAGATCCGTCGTTTGACTGAGTTGTAATTGGATCTTTCTAGTGGGGGTAGAACTTCACGGCTAAACTTGCTTTTTCGTAGCCTGGCCATCGTAGCTTCGGATTGGTTATGTTGAAGATAATCGATAGTTGATATCCGCACACCCCTTTTTATTTGCGGCACCACTCTAAACTATTTTAGGCTTAGCACCTATAGCACCCACTTTCACGTGACTGCTGATCTAACGTACAATGGGGCTTTTGGTAGGGGTCCTATACCGCCTTTTAGTTTCTGCCGGTCCCTGCCGGTCCCTGCCGGTCTTAAAAATAGCATGTCTTCTATCAAGTTGACAATTAATATTGGACGAAAAAGCAAGACTGAGATGATATGATTTATCAACACTCTTACACATACGTTTGATAGGCAACAAATCATGGGACAGATCATTTTCCTTCCATATTCTGCTGATCGGAAAGCGCGCTAGTGTATCTATGGTAGGCGGTAGGCAGACGATGTATGGCCCCCACACAACCCACTGTGCACTGCATAAGGGGAACTCATATCGAATTATATGATGGCCAAGAGCCGCTAACTTGGAATTGGTTTAAACAGGTGTGCCACAAGGAAAAGGGGTTGTGCCGCGATCATCTCACATGTCGATACTCAATTCCCGCAACCCCAATTCATATAACACACGCTCATTTTCAAACTCTCGTTTTCACCTTCGGATGGCCATTCCGCCCTCAATTTTGGCATTTATATAGTGGTTTAAATCTTCCATTCTTTTTTGAAGAGGGTTTTTTTTCATGATGACAACAGGGAATGGTTCCAACAATAAGAACCTTCATGACATTAGTACCTTCGCTGGAAGCTCAACAAGTGACGAACATGCCGCCCTGAATACTTCTTTCGAATCCGACCCTAGATCTAGTGGTTCCTATCCTTGTCAATATGAAATGAGCAGTGAGTCCTATACCTCCAATTCCTCTGGCCAAAGCTGACGTAGACTTCTTATCGTTATCAAGGACAAGCCGAGCTAGCCTCCACGAATTCTAGGTCAGACGACATCTTCCATAAAGTGAAAAACTTTCTTCGACCAGACAAAACACAACTTCCCAATGACGACGGTTCCTCTGGTTGGCCCCATCATGGCAGACCCTGCAGTCCGATCTCCATATTTAAACAACAGACAAAACATATTGTCAGCCCCCGGATCATCTTCTCGGGTGCATTCGCCGCATCGGCAGTCATTATCTCCAATACCCAAAGCCCGGCGCTTATAATATTCATCTGGAACCTCCTTGCTATTGTGCCGCTGTCGATCACGCTCACAGAAGCCACTGAGAGAATCTCCCAGGATTTGGGGGAGACCGCTGGCGCTCTCCTCAACATCACCATAGGGAATCTAGCGGAGCTTATCATTTTGTGAGTCCCAACTTTGGAAGTCCCCTTATTTCCAATCAATATATACTGACTAGCATATAGCATGTAAGTTTACAGATCGCACCAAGTTGACGGCCTTGGGGTTGGGTCGAGACTAATCTTCTATAGCACTGCTTTGATGAAAAACAACATTAAAGTAGTTCAATCGTCACTCCTTGGCTCCATCCTTGTCAACCTCCTGCTCGTCCTCGGGTCTGCAATCATAGCAGGCTGTATCTCAACCAGTGACGTGACGTATAACACTGATCTCACACAGTCATTTGTGGGACTTCTGAATCTCACAATCTCTTGCCTCATGATTCCAGTAAGGCAATATTTCAAGTATGCCAATGACGTCCAACACTAATCTTGAACATAGAGCGCTTTCTATGGCAGCGTGAAGAGCGTCACGTCTGCTGATCATATGTCATTGTCCTTCAGCAGGGGGGTGTCCATCATCCTCCTCGGCACATATTTCCTATACCTTTTCTTCCAGTTCAAATCACACGCTCACTTGTTCCACTCTACCCGACTTCAAGTGCCACATCCGACCGACCCTCAGCAATATACAGACGACCTCGAATCGCATCCCACCCAAGTCGGAAGCGCAACGAGTAGAGATATTCGGCAGCTAGAGATGCAAGAGGTGCGATCGCGGTCGTGTTCAGTCGATGCACACACAGCAGCAGCAATGCCACTGTTTCACACCGAGCCATCCGACGGAAGAACGAGCCTCCACCGACAACCGGAACCACCTATTGGAGACTACGGACCTTGTAGTTGCGAACGCTATGTTGTTAGGTCCAACCGAACGATATCAGTCACACTCCTCGCCCTGTCAACAATTCTCATCGCTGTATGCGCCGAATACTTCTCCTCAAGCTTCTCAACGCTCAACGAACAGGGCGTCCTCGGTGAATCATTCGTCGGGTTGATCGTCATTCCCATCGCCGGAAATGTTGCCGAGAATGTTACTGCGGTTGTTGTGGCCTCGAAAAACCAAATGGATCTTGCTATCAGTGTTGCTCTTGGATCAGCTATTCAAATCGGTCTCTTGGTTTCGCCTGCTATGGTGCTTATTGGCTGGGGTCTCGATAAGCCCATGACCTTGCACTTTGATAGGTTCGAGATGGTCACACTTATTGGGGCTGTTCTTTTGGTCGATTTCATCGTTCTCAAAGGAAAGACCAATTATTTGGAGGGCGCTATCTTATGTGCCTGCTTTGCGGCTATTTCGTATGTGCACTCTGTCTATTTATCAAAGATTCAATTGCTAACATTCTCGATATAGTGTTGGCGCATACTTGTTGCCGCTCACTTGAGAAGTCTGCCTCAAGGACACTGATCCGTAGACGGTAGGACGATGGTAGGACAGTCTGTTCGACTGGGCTTTTCAATTCTTACCTTCTGCCCCTCAATCTTCTTGTTATTATTCAATGTAAATATGAATTGTAGATAAACCCATGGGACTGGATTTAATCTTTAAAATTTATTGCTTCTTATGTTCACCGGATTAATCTCTTGCGTGTCCCACAGACCCACGCCGAAGCCACCCGCTGAGGAAGCGTCATTCGGAAGTGAATATCAGGTTATGAAACATCCTTCTGATCCTGCTTGAATGCTATCTGTTCTAGCCTCGTTCTAGCTTCTTGCCTTTCAAACAGGGATCGTTTTGGATTGTCAGTCCTATCACACAACTCCCGCCAAGCTAATTCGAAACAGGGCTTCAATATGAGGGACTATATGAGGGCCCACGGAGGATTCTATCCACTTTGCCCCCGTGTCTCGATATGATTTCAGTTAGATTGTCATGCTGTCATCTTGGTAACGAACTCATCCGGTTGATAACCTGCAACGAGACTTCCAGATCATTCCCATCGCAATCCAAATGGGGATAAGATGTGGCTTCGGCAAAGATTGACGATCCGCAGTGGATACCAAGCACTCACTTTAATTCAACACAATCTACATCGTTTGATGTATATTATACGGGATACATTGTTCGATATTGCTTCTATACCGGCCCGGACGAATCTATCACCCGTGTTTTCCGGCCTCACACATAGTAGGTTTCCTGCGTCTCCGATACCAAGCCGTTCGGAGTGAAGAAGGGTTGATTTGGGAGCGATCAATCAAGCCGTTGATATCCTTGCTGCTTCTGCTTGCCTCATTCAGCGCTAACCTCGCCCAGTCTGCTAGCTCTATCTCCAAAATGCGTCATTTTCCCGACAACCCTATGTCATTCCGCACTACCTGACCTCACATGCTGCTACCGTTAGCTTTGGGTGCAGAAGGGTGCAGAGCAGCAGGCTCGCCTGTTGATACAGGGGGATAGGTCGGTCCCCAGTCCTGAACTCTGAGATGGTTGATCGTGGTTCCTTGTGGCTTTGAATAAACTTGCATATAGACAGGATAATGTCTGGCTTTCCCTTTCCGTTTCAGTGCTCACCCCATGCCGCTTTTTGCTCCCTGGACATCACCTGATCGTTATGTAAGTCGGATGATTCAAACACTGAGCGCTCTGATTTGCTCATTGAGCGCGACCTGAAACAGCTAAGTCAGCCTCTGAGCCAGCAACTCACCTCAATAAAATGCACCACTAGCCCCATCCAATGCAGTCTTCGGCCAACACACTTGACCGTCGTCCCCTCAACGAAAGGATGGCAGGGCAGTCAATCCTGATTGTTTCGCCTCCAGCTGAACAGTGAGGCCAAATTCATTGGCATTACTATCCTGCGGCTATACCACTCACTATTCAACTCGTCGAGTTTCGCATCCACGTTACCGTCTCTATGTAGTTGCGGAAAATATCCCACCCTCATATTTTCAATATCTAGTCAACTGAATGGTTTGTATTGTAAATTCAATCTGTTGGTCTATTCTAGTTCTTTTCTCGCTTCCAGACGTATCGATCATGTCTAGTGGATGGTCTAGCCTCCCATGATTGATTGCATTCGCGGTCCCTCATTAGCCTACGATAATCTCACTAGCACCTATAAGATATCTATACTAAGTATAATGATTATACCGTTAGGCTGTGATAGCCTGGACAGCATCAAAATTGAAGCACCTTCTTCATTTGTCTTCGAACAAACCATGGAAGTGAAAAATCACGAAAAGCCGCTGCGAGAGGCCATCGAGGAAGGCAACAAGAACAAACCACAGTTCTAGGGCGACTTCATGCCAATTGCAATGATCCCTGATATGGAACAACCAATCTCTATATTTGTTTTCCAAGTGAATATACATCCGGATGGAGTCCTGCTCGCCATCGCGGCAAACCATACGGTAATGGATGCTACCGGAATGAGAGGTGCGATAGGAAAGCTTGCAAATTGCTGTCGTCGATTGGGTGGGAAAGACGTCGAGTTGTCAACGTCCTCTGCGGATCCAGACCGAGGCAGGGAAATGCTTATGCTTCAACTACCAGACAACCATTTTGAGCAGGAATTCCCAGAGTATCGGGGCTCAAAAAACCTTTTCACCCAGTGGACAGAAATGGCAAAGAACACATCCCACGCGCATTCCTCCATCCAATCGAGGCATTTCAATATCCGCGCAGAAGATGCCCGGGAACTGAAAGATCGCAGTAACGAAATGCTGCCCCGTGTCCTAGCTCCAGGGGATAATAGTGGCTGCGATGGTTTGCCTTGGGTTTCCAGCAGCGACGTGGTTATTGCCCTAATCTGGTTGTCGCTCAACCTTGCCGGAATACCACAAGGAAATCTGGAGAGCCTGGGTATATTTGTGTTAGAATGGCAGTGAACATCCGCAGTCGTCTCTTACCACCCCTGCCCAAGTCATTGCTAGTGGCATATAGTTGGGAAGCGGCTCCTTGTCCTGAACGGATGAAATCACTATGCCGGGTGGCATATGCGATTCGCAGGAGACTCAAATGTACGGACAGCGAGTATATCCGAAACCTTTTGCACCATGTTCAAAATGCAGAGGGTCCAGTTGTTTTTGCGTTCGAGATCGCCGATTTCACGTGACTCATTGGAGGGATATGGAGTACTGCAGTGCAGATTTTGGATCGAAGATAGGAAAATCCCAGCATTCTCGGGTTTCTGATTCACCAGCTGACGGGTGTGTTTACATTACGCCCAAGCGAACTCATGTGAATAATGCGCCACGGGAGATCACGGTGCCTTTCGCTAGTGACGTGTTGAAGCGCCTGGAGCAGGATACCTTGTGGACCAGGTACATGCATGCGGATCCCTTTTGGTCTTGATGCGCTTCTTCGACCAGTCTCAATTGGGTTCATGGCGTTGACTACACTTCAGTAGGTCAGAGTCGCTTCAGATAGTTCTCGATACCTTAATATTCTGATTAGTGGAACCTATCCCATGGGTGAACTGTAACCTTGGAATGAGGCGCACTACAATTTAGTCCGCATTCTTTTGTATGGTGTCTATCAGAATGGGATATGGCCCCCTTAGGCGCTAAACAGGAAGTAAGGTTTTTGTTATGGTCTAGTGGTAAAATTGTTTCCCACAGTGTCAACAGAAATTAGAAGAGGTCTAGAACATGACCGCGTCCGACTGCCGCTTTGGGAAGCTTTTTCAAGTCGCAGACTATATATCAGTATCTACGCTTTTGTTCTATGGTTTTAGTCACATTATATATTCGTTTCAAATTTGTTATTTTTTTTTAATCTCCCATCTCCAAATGCAGAGTCACCGTCGAGGGTCTGGACACCCTGGACGGGTTACACTATGCCAATGGCTTGCAGCAATTCTGCGGAATTCCATATGCGCATATTCCTAAGCGCTAGACGCAATCTGTATTGAAGACTTGGTGGGACCATGGCCATCATGACGGTACCAAGTTAGGATAATAATCAATAGCTTGTCAATGAGCCTATGCTAATTCTACGCAGAAACGACTGCCCAAGCTGTTTCGCCGTCTACATCTACCCACCACCCAAGCTGTGGATGAACTCTCCGGCCTCATCATGAACAGACCTCTCAATAGCCCACAAAGCCCGTAGCCCAACCCAACCCAACCCACAGATGGGCCCCAAACAATAAAACCATGCTAATTTATTGTAGCTATATAACTAATGCATTTTCTGGTTTTTTGGGGTATTCAAATTACCGTATGAGCGATACATGAAGCTATTTAGAAACCTTCTTATAAACTTATAAATTCACTTACGGTAGAAAATGCGAAGGATAGATGGAGGATAAAGAAGAGAAGAAGGAGAGACTAAGAGAAAGCTCGGTTGGAAGATACAAAGTTGATTTTTATAAAGCTTTGCTTTTTTATAAGGGAATTATATAGTAAGTAGAGGTACCATTAGTGTTAATATAATTGACACCTAGATATAGACCCAATATATATATCTCTTCATCCTGATACTCAGTAATCCTCCTAGGAGCGAATTCGTGGTCAAATTAGATCTCTTTGGGGTTATTTTGTATGAAATTTTGTATGAAATCCGACATCATGATGCTGTCAGTATAATATCCACCCAATTCCTACTTCTTACTATATAATAAGATGATGATACTGTGTATATAGGTTGTTATATGCGTAAAATACATCCATTAATCAGCTACTTTATGCGTGCTAAGACTGTATTTATACACATAAATGGGCTTTTGATGGGGTTTATGGGCGCCCATTAATGGGCTGTGGGCCAGGGGCTTGGGCCCATTTGTAGGCTATTGAGAGGTCTAGTAATGAACATCGTCACACCAAATATCCCCTCTGAAGATCTTCAGCTACAAGACTAGCACGAAATAACCGGCTTACTTTCCGACAGAAGATTTTCCCAGATATGCTAGCTCTGGAGGATGTAACAAAGATCTTTCATTATTGTGGTTTTCGTTAGCGAAGAGTACCTTACGCTGGAGTCTTGGGTAATGACATTGTGACCTTAAAAGACAGTGGCTGTGATCTTGAACTTTCATTAGACTATCCCTAATCGGATAGCCTTTGCCGTCTTCTTTGCGCCTGGTAGACATGACGCATGATTTTGAGGCCAAGGGATCCTCTAGAAAACGAGAGCAACCCAAACATCGTCAACACACTAACCATCACAGAATAGATGACCCTATGGGGCCTGTCTCTATTGGGTAAGGTCTATATTGAATTAAACAAATCAGGAGTGCTTACTGAGCCCGCTTTGTATTAGTCATTTTACACGTGACCAGACAGAGCATGCTCACTGATCCAGAGCCTGAGCGCCCTCATAAAGCGGCGGCAGCCCAGATAGGAAAGGCCACATCCTGTCTATATATAACGAACTACGGGGCACTTCAATTTACTATTCCGTGCCCCATACGGAGTACTCTCAAAAGCACCGAAGGATCAAAACTATTTGGAAAATCAATTTTCTGGAGCCTTGAGTTTGTTGGCCTCGGATCCACCACGTTAGACGTCATATTTCCCGTTCAAAATACTGGGATGTGAGCAACTTCTTGTCTACACCTGAGTGATCCTACAAAGTACAGGGGCTCCCCTCCTTTTCTGTGTAGTATACTTATAATTTAGAGTTTTGTATAATTTTGGCCTGCATCTTACACGCCAATGAGCAAAGACTCATTTGTGCTCTATGTACTTTGTATGTACTTTTAATATTATTTGTCTGACTCAGACTTCAAATAGTTGCGAGTAGTTATTTCAAATGTATTTCAAATCAACTTAGCGCTGACCGCTAGCCTTGGAGTCGACCCCCACTGTATACCCAAAACAACCCCTCGACAACAACCAACAAACAAAACGCCCAGCATGTCTACCCCAACTCCTCTAGTCTTGGAACTAGCAACTATTGAAGATCTCCCTGCCATTACAGAGCTATGGTTCACCGTATTCAACGACCCCGGCATGCGCCAACTAATCCCTGACACACCAGGGGCGCGTGATTGGTTCACCGCAGCCAATCGCACCGACATGCTCACAAAACCCTATCAGAAATACCTCAAAGTCATCGACCCCGACACAAAGGATGCACAGGGGCAGGCACGGATAGTCGCATATGCGAAATGGGACCTGGCCATGCCCGACGAGCGCGGGGCTCGGTTCCCGCCTTGGCACGGGGACATGCCTGGTCAGGATTGTGATGCTTTCTTTGGGGGGCTGGAGAAGAACCGTAGGCGTGTGATGGGTGATAAGAAGCATTACTGTAAGTCTGATTCTTCGACGGTTAAGCGCTACATGCTGTGTGACTGTACCTTTGTTGACGTTCCGCATAGACCTTGATATGCTCGGTACGCATCCCGACTACCGCTGTCGCGGGGCAGGCTCTATGCTTGTTCGCTGGGGTTGCGAAATTGCGGACCGTGAGGGTGTTGGGGCGTATATTGATGCTAGTAAGGCTGGTGTCCCGTTGTATGCGAAGCATGGGTTTATGGACCACAGTGACCCCGCTGTACTGAGTGAGGTTGCCCCGATGGCTCGAGGATAGATCTCTTATATATCATCGGTTGAGTAGTTATTCTCCGTATGATTAGTTCATCCATGCAAAAACTCTATCAAAAACTCTATCAATAGCTCTATCAAATTCAAAAACAAAGATATCTCGACCCTTCTCACGAGAATACTCCGTAGTCGCCGGCCGAAAGCTCTATCACATACATATCACATTAAAAATAGCTCTTTCAATAACTATTATGCCAAGTTCACAATTGCCAAGATCATAAAGGACCAATCTCGTGACTTTCTACGGCGGGTTAAGTGATTTTCCCCTCGCCAAGCATCTCAGCTTGTCACACCCCGCGAATCCAACAATAAGCGGGCACAAACGGGCACATGGGCATGTCTTTTGCTGCAGGACAAGACTGCCAATATCTAAAATTAACTAAAGTTACCCATCCATGTTATGCCACACCGCAGGCCGATGTAACATCCTGTCACCAAACGGCTCATCGCGGATGATCCCAACTAAGTTATGGGTGTCTAAAAATGGTAAGAGATGTGCGTTAACCAGGATTAGGTGCAGAAGCCGGTCTTGGTATTCTGAACTGCAGTTTGACCCCTGTCGATTCTCTAAGTCCCAATTTTGAGTGGAAATTTTGCAATTTTACAATGCTATTGTTTCCCGTATATCCGCCGATGCCTACTCTATACAGAGTACTCTCTGTTTCCAGTTGGGAGATTAATCCCAATATGAGACATGATGTTTTGGACGCTAGGGTGCAGATTGCAGATCTACGGAGTACAAAGGGTGTTTTTTTTTGTTTTGTTTTTGTTTTTGTTTTTTCTTTTTCCTCCAAAGTCCAAACAGACGCCAAGTGGCTTTCACTAGAATCTTAGCCAATTACCAAGCATCGCGGCCTCGACCCAACATTCCCCTACGCTTAATCACCGCCAAGACATCACCCCCTTCACTATCCCCCCCCTTCACTATGTACGGTTGAGACTCATCCGTTAATTCCGTGTCATATCCGAGGTTTTCAAGCTTACGTCTGCCAATCCTTTCTATCTTGATAGCCTGATGCCTATGGCCTATGGATCAACCAGTATTTCCAATTAAACGAGCTAACGGTCCATTCGGAGTAAAGTATATTATCTCTGCTCCTCTCCTTGGCTCGTGGAGACGGTCAACGCCTCTAGCTCAGCCCCACTATATCCAGCAGGCTCCTTCGATCTCGTCATGTTGGTCTCGGCCGACCATGCTGAAATAATCAATAGTCTCCTGGTTAGAGAATAATGGCCAGCCCATGTCTGATCAATAATAAGTACCTGAATCCTGCGTCATGGGATTTTCATGGAGCTTCCCATTGGCTCACTGCAAAGGTCGCACTAGGCAGTTTTAATTCTTTGTTTGGGGCTCGCATTTACCCCGAGGTATAAAGTGAGTCCAGGATCTTTCATCTTTTGTTTAAAGTTGGACTCGTTGGAAAACTCAATTGAGGTTTGAGCTTTCTATCAAACAGTTATAATATTTAACTGTCACAATGCATGTACTTGCCCTTGTTACGGGCCTTGTTGGCATTGCCAATGCTGCCTGTCCTTATATGACTGGCGAGGCCGGCGACAATCCTCACATCGAGCGCCGAGCTGATGGAGATGCTGCTGCCAATACTGAAGAATTTCTCTCCCAATTCTACCTCAAGGACCAAGATGTCTATCTGACTTCCGACGTTGGCGGTCCGATCGAGGACCAAAACAGTCTCAGCGCAGGAGAGCGTGGAGCAACCCTGCTCGAGGATTTCATTTTCCGTCAGAAGATCCAACGCTTCGATCATGAACGAGTATGTTTTCTACTTTTGAATTGATGTCCTAAAGCTCATATATGATTTTCAAGGTACCGGAACGCGCTGTTCACGCTCGAGGCGCCGGCGCCCACGGGACATTCACCTCCTACGGCGACTGGTCCAACATAACTGCCGCGTCTTTCCTTTCTGCCAAGGGCAAACAAACCCCCATGTTCACGCGCTTCTCTACTGTTGCTGGCAGCCGTGGAAGCGCCGATACCGCGCGAGACGTCCACGGCTTTGCGACTCGCTTCTATACCGATGAAGGAAACTTCGGTATGGCAGATCCCCTTTTTTTGCTAAACAAAGGACACAACTGAAATGAATCTAGATATCGTTGGAAACAACGTTCCCGTTTTCTTCATCCAGGATGCCATTCTCTTCCCAGATCTCATCCACGCCGTCAAGCCCCGGGGCGACAACGAGATCCCCCAGGCTGCCACTGCGCATGACTCGGCTTGGGACTTCTTCAGTCAGCAGCCTAGTTCACTGCACACCCTTCTTTGGGCAATGGCTGGCCACGGTATTCCTCGCTCGTTCCGTCATGTTGATGGATTCGGTGTGCACACCTTCCGTTTGGTCACTGACGACGGAAAGACCAAGCTTGTCAAGTTCCACTGGAAGGGACTGCAAGGCAAGGCTAGCTTTGTGTGGGAGGAAGCGCAGCAGACCGCTGGTAAAAATGCGGATTTCATGCGTCAGGATCTTTTCGAATCCATTGAAGCTGGACGTTTCCCCGAATGGGAGGTAAGTACTAACCCCAACATCCATCGCAATTCTTGCTAATTATCCTTTAGCTCGGTGTTCAAATCATGGAGGAAGAGGACCAGCTTCGATTTGGATTCGATCTTTTGGATCCTACCAAGATCGTCCCAGAGGAACTCGTTCCTGTCACAAAGCTGGGCAAGATGCAACTGAACCGAAACCCTATGAACTACTTCGCCGAAACCGAGCAAGCCATGGTACGTCTCGATCTATCCTCACCAACGAGTTAATCCTAATTTAAATTCTCAGTTCCAACCTGGCCACATCGTCCGCGGTGTCGACTTCACCGATGACCCCCTCCTCCAGGGCCGTCTCTTCTCCTACCTCGACACCCAACTCAACCGCCACGGCGGCCCCAACTTCGAACAGCTCCCCATCAACCGTCCCCGCGCACCAATCCACAACAACAACCGCGACGGAGCAGGTACGTACCCACAAGCCCAATCCCACTCTCAACCCCCCATTCTAACAAGACAACCCTAGGCCAAATGTTCATCCCCCTAAACCCCAACGCCTACTCTCCCAACACCGAAAACAAAGGCTCCCCAAAGCAAGCCAACCAAACCGTGGGCAAGGGCTTCTTCACAGCCCCCGATCGCGCAGCAAGCGGCAAGCTCCAACGCACCGTCAGCACAACCTTCGAAGACGTCTGGTCCCAACCGCGTCTATTCTGGAACTCCCTCGTAGCCGCCGAGCGCCAATTCATCGTCGACGCAATGCGCTTCGAGACCTCGAACGTGAAGAGCAGCGTCGTCCGCAACAACGTCATCATCCAACTAAACCGCATCAGCAACGATCTCGCCACTCGCGTCGCATCGGCAATTGGCATTGCCGCGCCGAAACCGGATGACACTTTCTACCACGATAACACGACCGCGCATATCGGCGCTTTCGGACAGAAGCTCGCTAAGCTCGATGGGTTGAAGGTTGGACTTCTTGCATCTGTGGATAAGCCTGCTTCTATTGCACAGGGCGCGAAGTTGCAGGCTGCTTTGTCTTCTTTCGGTGTTGATGTTGTTGTCGTTGCGGAGAGGATGGCGGATAATGTTAATCAGACGTATTCTGCTTCTGACGCTGTGCAGTTTGATGCTGTTGTTGTTGCGGATGGGGCGGAGGGTCTGTTTGGTTCCAAATCTTTCACTAGTGTGCCTAATAAGGCTTCCGGTGCGTCGACTTTGTATCCCGCTGGTCGGCCTTTGGATATTCTGCTTGATGCTTTCCGCTTTGGAAAGACTGTTGGTGCGCTTGGTAAGGGCTCTGATGCTCTGCAGTCTGGGCAAATTTCTTCGGATCGTGAGGGTGTGTACACTGGCAGCACCGTTGGGGATGCCTTTGCCAAGGATCTTGAGGAGGGACTTCGGACCTTCAAGTTCTTGGATCGGTTTGCGCTTGATTAGTGAGGGATTTCCGTTATGACTGTATGTATGGATATACCAATTTTAAATACCTGCGAATACTGTTCAACTTGTCTCGATCTACAATTTGAGCCTTTCCACTTTGGAGCACGTTTGATTTGTAAGTTTCTACCCAGTGCATTTGTATTGTGTTTGGATTGCTTGTAGAGAACCAAATCGAAAGGAATACTGTATTTACAAAAAAGTCCCTTCGTTAATTTCTTCGGAAATCCAGAGGAACTCCAGGGCATGTCAATCAGCCTCTAAAGTTAAAGCAGAAGCACTCGACGTCGACGCATAAAGGCATCCGTGCCTGATACGGCTGTTGCTGCGCGCACGTTCATCTTCTTATTGGCAGATTTGGGGCCTGAGGAAGCAGTGTGCGTCTTTCCTTGCCCGAGAATAGCCCATTCAGCAACAGTCGCACCAGTTCCATTCTTCGCCTCCACATCAACAGAGCCAAGCGCTTGGTTTCCCACAATAAGCAGAGACGCATAGCGCGCTGCGGGAACGGGATATGATAGAGTAACATTCGTTGTGTTTCCAGTAGGAATGGCAATGACATCGAGGTTGGTGGTCTCGGGATCATATGGATTCGATTGAATGATGTCTGAGAGGCTGTGGACAACTGTATAATCCGAGGTTTGGGCGGAAAGCGCCCTCGCAGGGTCTTCCAGGGTCTTGTTATGGAAGATAACTGTGGCATTGACCGGGGGTGCCTGCGCCCAATCAAAGTAGAATCCTGATACCATAGCACCGACCTCATCTTCGAATGAGACTGTCACGGAGTTTACCTCAGCTGCCAGCGAGGGCTGCCATTTTGTCGAGGCTGCGCCGTCTATTGCGGAAATAGGGAACTGGCCAGGTTCAAATGCATCCGAAGAGGAAACAGCCTGGCACTGTACGAGATTGCCCGCCACAGTGTTCTCTGATCCAATCTGTCGGTTAGGAATGACAACAGAGCCCTTGAGAGGGAGATGATAAATGGCGGCATCGACTTCTGGGCCAGAGTGAATCGTGATTGTTTTGTTGGCGAATCGCTGATCGGCAGTCTCTAGTGGGACAGTATCGGTGGAATGGCTGATGGCCGTGTGTGTGTAATTTGACCACGCCGATATGGGCCATCCCCGCCAGTAGAAGGTACGATACTTCAGGTATGGAATCTGGGGAGGCAAATTTGGATCCACATGGAGGATGTCATCTGCAACCAGCCGCAATCCAAGATAACCATATATCGCAACCTGATTGGAACCACCGTGACCAGTCAGGAATGGATACGCCGGGTGTGTGCCTCCATTGATAGTAGCGTTATCCACCATCTGCTCCGACATTTGGTAGAATGGCGCGCGGGTATAAGGCTTATATGAGTACTGCGCATATGTGTATGCTGAGCAGCCAGACGGTGACATTTCGTTTGCAACGACAGAAAAGATAGCCCAAGTCATGGCAGGACCATCAGCAGATTGTTTGGCTGCGTACTAGATATTGTTAATTTTGACTTCTTTTTGCCCCAGATCAGAATACTTACATAGTCCAGATCATTCAGCGAATTTTGGCTGGTGTAGTTGGCAGTATATCCCAGGGGATATGTGACCATAACTACATCAGCTTGTTTAACAACAGCGCTTCCATTCATGGTAGTGAACTCGAGAGTCACCTCGTTTTCACGAAGCACCAAGATATTGTCAGCCATTTCATCCCAGGTAGTATTTTCTTCAAGTCCAAATTGCTGACGGAAGACGTTGGCCTGTCGGAGGGTCTCGGCAATGAGTGGCATTGTGAAGCCACCCGCATCCACATGGTTGGCGTACTCATCCTACTTTGTGTTAGATTTGGATGCTGGAAAGAGATGGGGCGCCCAACTTACAGGGTCGGTCATGTTGGTCAATGTCCAGTGAGACCCGTTTCGAACCAGCAGGTCGGCATAGAGAGTAGCCGCCGAGTCGTAGATTGGGAAATGTTCTTCTTTGAATACCCTTGTATCACCACTTGTAACCCATTGGTTAACCAGAGAAATTCCGATGTCTCCGTTCAGGTGATACTGGTAGTCCCAGCACGCGCCGGTAGCCGTGCAGTTGCCAAAACGGCCACTAGTCCAAGGGAAGATTGCAGCCGACGGACTGAAATATGTCTGGTTCTTGGAGCCAGACAAAGCAGTCTGGATATTCTCCTGTGCTTGAGCATACTTGACCACACGGAAATTGGTGAACCGCTCGGACGCTTCTGGGTGAGAAGCAACAAGACCAGGTTGCATCCATACATCCGCATCCCAGAAGACTTGGCCACCATAGGAGTCAGAGGTTAAGCCACCAACGGAAATACTGTCCACATTTACCGGTGCTCCCGCAGCTTCCTTGACTGCGTTCTTGCCAGCAGTATTCTGTAGCAAGTAGTAAGTGCTGGTCACGGAGATTACTGCCAAATCGATGATGTGGCTATCTGCAGGCAATGTCCCGTTGGGGAACGCGTAGTGGTCAACCGAAGCGTCGGGCATAACATTTTCCCATTCCACGATATGGGATCGAAGAGACTGGGTGTAGCCATTGCTCATCGCGGCGGAGGCAGCCTTCTTGGCCGTTTGTTTGGGATCCACAAAGGCATCCGTAGAGGCTCCTCCGACATATTTGATGACGCGAACTAACTGACCAGGCTTGAACTTCACTTCCACGGCCTGTGCAATGGACGATTTGTTGGAGTGGACATATGGCTTGTTGGTCACAATCTTGCGCGAAGAAAGGTCCACATTTGGCGACCCAGTGAGGTTCGCGTACACATAAGCTGTAACATTAGCAATCCCATTCGGGCGGACTGCCGAGAAGATTGCACCATTGTCCTCTCCAGTCTCCACGAAGTCGGTGCGCACTGCAGAAGCTCCATCGATAACATTGACGATGGTTGCATTCGACTCCGTGGTCGGGATAATCTCCATCTCGACCACAGCCTGATTGACGTACAGCTTGTGGGCGAGAAGGCGATAGGTAATCTGGTAAGACCCCTTGTTACCTCGAGGCATCCATTTGTAAGACCAAACCAAGACACCTGCTTTGAAGTCGTATGTGGTTCGGAAATTGGAGATGGTCTCATTGTCGACCTTTGCATCCAAATAGGTATCATCACCAAGATCCAGGATAATTCCCGCCCAGTGAGGGATACCACTGATCACACTGTCATCTCCATACTGGGATAACCAGGGGAAGTTGCTGCCATTTGTGGTAGGCTGTGAGTCAAAGAACCCACTGATCGTTGCAAAGGTCTGGCGTCTAGAGAAAAGCGGCCAGCCGTTGGTGTCATCATCGTGGGTGTCAATCTCAAAGAAAGGACCAACGCTGGCAACATTGATACCCAGATATCCGTTCGCCACTGATCCTCGAGATTGAAAGCGACCCTGTTCCAAGTAGGTTGAGCTCAGAAGCCAGTTGTCTTCGTCCCAGGTTACACCATCAAAGCCAGTCTGGTACACATTGTTGCTGAAGTTGCCCGCCGAGGTAGAGCCTGTGTGTTCTCTGAAGCATCGTATGATACGACTGGCGGGAGAGCCGCTGACAAGATTTAGAAGTAGCGATAATACCGCGCAAGTGAAGAACTAAGCAAAGCGTTAGAGGATTGATAAGGACATACGGGGGTACAAACTCACTTTGAACTGCATATTGCAGTTTCACCACCTTGTCAACCAGGTCAGATTCTCGAATAAATCAAAATTAATTGAATAAGAAGAAGCTATCAGCACTATTTATGGGGTGAGGAGAGAGGAGAGTGGAGGAAGTAAGACGAGGGTGGAAAGAAAAGAGATTTAATAGCACTTGCCTAAATCAGCACGAAGTGAGAAGATCCAGGCACGTACCTACCTTATGTAGGCTTAAAATCACCCTTCTGAACGCATGGTGAAATGTGTAAAATGTGGGGAAATAAAGTCAAACTGGCCCATTCCAAGGTTGAGGCATCAGCCAAGAGAAATATTGTACGAGGGCTGGCTTCGGCTTCGCACTATGTTAAACAGCTTGTGACGGGACCGGGAAATGCGGGGCAACGACGAATGTTATGGTATTTTGTGTAGAACATTTTGGCTATTGGCTGTGAAGACCGAAAGTTTCCCTCGGCATCCTTCACGGCCAAGACCTACCCGGCATGGGATCGGGCCACCCCAGATCGTCGTCATCGACTGCAGGGAAGGTTTAGTGCGAGGGATTTTGTGGGGAAGTTGGGGGTTCCATTAGTAAATTGTCTGACAAATTAGTTAACTAGTTAGTTACCGTTTGGGGGTTATCATATTATATAAACATCAGATCAGGGACTTTATCGGAGGATCTCTCAACGTTAGTGTTCTTGAAGAGTCATCATGAAGGATGAATGTTCAAAGGGTCGAAGTTTGAGGTTGAAGATCGTGGAGAGGTGTGGGTGCCTCAGGTGTCTATATCAACAACCCATTTTAGTTTATGCCTTGGATATACCAGTAAGATACATTTCAATATGTTTAAGTTATTTGAATTTCTTTTCATAGGTCTCCTAAGATCATGTTTGTACACGGCCTTGTATCTTACAAAGCCCATGACCTTTCTCGTCTACATGATCTCCAGTATCTGCATTTTTGAAACAAAATAGGTTAAGCCTTGTCAAAGGGCTCAGGAATGGGGTCGAGAGACGAGATGAAATATTGCTTTGGGTATCACCTCAAGCAAGCTGACAGCAATCCTCGCTCGATATTTCCCCTATCATTCATTCATTCGTTACTATTCACATGGGCATGTCCACGTGCGAGCGCACATCCTAACTAACGCAGAGTTCAACAGACATGGCAAGGCTCAAGACAAGATTTATTTACCACATCAGTGGAAGTTCAATTTTGTTCTTGTTCTTCGTCATCGTTCTCGTCTGCGAAAATTTCACCAAGGGCACTAGGCGCAGCAGACGAAGACTGCCTTTGTGGGGCGGCGTTGCTTGATCGCGGGTTCGCGGTGAGCGCTCTTTCACCCACAAATTTATCGCCAGGCCACTCCTCTTTGCACACGGGGCATCTCTCTCCTTGCTGCATGCGGAAGAAGTTGCGCATGCAATGGTCATGAAGTCGACCTTTGCACTCGCGATTTTCACAGCGCTGGCCCTAGAGCATCTCGGTCAGGACTTTTACTAATGCGGGATTAAGCACACTTACCACAGTGATAATGTCTTTGCAAGCAGCACAAAATTTAATGCGCTCCACGACTCGGCCGTCCAAAGTCTCATCATTATACGTCAAGACCAACCAGCCCCGCAACTCCATCAGTGCTCGTGGTGTAAGGCTGAGGTAGCCCTTCGGGCTCTTCTGCAGCCATCCCTCTTCAATCAAATGAATTATCATGGTCTCTGCTTGGGTCATGCGCAATGACTGCACTGCTGCAGTTTGGGTCTGTGTTGAATCGTTGCTCGTGGATTGCCGTTCGCTAGACGGAACCTTATGGAGTTGGACAGCTTGCATCTGTGTAGCTGCCATTCCTTCACACAGTCGGGTATTATTTGTGGCAAACATGTAGTCAAGCAATCGCTTGAGAAACGCGATCTCGTCGGGAGAATAAGTGGTCGCGAGTTGTGTCAAAGGATCACTTGTAGTATTTACAAGCGCATACACTCGCTTTGGTGGTGTGGCGGGGGCATCTTGCTGGGTTGGTTCAAGGACTTGTGGCAGTGAGCTTCTGATTTCGAGGTCGAAGGGTGACACGGCGGTGTTAGCCGCCGATATAAAGTCTGAAAACCGGTCTTCCCCAACCTCATCAGGATCCACTGTTCGCCCCTCTGCTCGATCATTTCAACGTCAGCGGCTGCTGCTATTACTTACAAGGGGCTTAAACAGGAGTCAAGTACCAGATACTGTTAATATCGCAGCCAGGATGGGTTGCGCATCTTCAAAGGTCATAGACGAGCGTGCCATAAACGCCTGGAGAAAGGCACGATTGCTGTCGTTGTATTCGGGCATATTTTCAACGTTGGCTTTTGGTCGAAAGGTTTCAGAGTTTGTGATATCAGTCAGTTCGAGGTCCTTTATGCCAACAGAGCACTCGCTTTGACGCGATCAGACGCGCTCGCGTGGCTGTAGATGAAAGAAAGATAAGAAGGCCCGATAAGGATGCTTAGTAATTTTTGTTTCCTAAGGCATCTTCTTCTATCTTAGGAGGAAGAGAAAATTATGTAGGAAATATAGTTTCTATTGATAGACTGATTGATTTTTTATAGATCTAGGCAAAGGGTATCTGAACTCAGTTAGGAGGCTCTAAGCAAACAGGCATCAGACATCTCAGCAAGTACTTGATGTCTCGGGCATCCACCCGTGAACAGCCCTAGTGTCGTTCGACTTGACTAGCATATATAGCATGGTACAAGCATACCTTCCGATGGTGGAAACTCCTGTTACTTACTGCATATCTAGGTCTCATAATATGATTATACAAACCTGCAGACCAAAGTAGCTGAAACTGCACCACCAGCCGACTCTGACAGCAGGGGGATATGCCATTTCGAAGATTATACATACATAGACATAGACAAGTCTCTTGCACGCACAAATTATGATTCTTTTTTACAGCCTAAGAAGACAATTAAAAAGACATGACAAGGCCAAATTGTAGGTAGATTATTTGGCCAGTGATCTGGGGGCGTGCTTAGTCTGACTGGTCAAAAAATAAGATATGGGCGTTCAATCATGGATTTAATTCGTCGTCTACTGTCTTGCGCACACAGGATAAGTGACGAAATTTTCGTGAGAGATGAACCTATCCCATTGAAATCTTTATGGTTTGGTATGTAGGTGACCCCCTTGATGAGGCTCAATGAGCATATGTGCAGCCTCATTTATCTTTATCCACTTGGTCAATATTCAACAACTTTGGTGAAGACGAGTTGGACATGAAGAGCTTGAACGGAAATCTTTCCAATGTTTCTTTAGAAGGATTCAATCAAGAACATCATTCTCATACTCATTACTACCAATTTTGGCCCCCTAAATGCCAGGATGCTCTGTCCAATTAGCTATCTGCAGTAGAGAGATATGCATAGTACATATCAACTATGTAGGCTTGGCTAGAAAACATATACGCATGAGCCAATTGAGAAGGGATATTCCAGGCCGCTTTAGCTGGGTTTGTTCTCCTGGCTATCCTACATATACATCGGATTTTAGGCTGCGCGACATGGCCTTCCCTTTCCGCTTTAGTGCTCACCCCTTGCCGCTCTTTGGTCACTAGTTAAGACTGAGCAGCTCCTAAGTATTTTATAATCATCAAACGCTCACTGAGCATCACCTGATCATTATATAATCCGGATGTAGTGCCCAGGTGGACCTCCCAAGGTTACTAAGCATGATCAGAGCACTCTGATTTGCTCACTGAGGAGCCTAATGAATCTGGGATACGAACTGTAAACCATATGTTGATATAGGCTCTAATCTAGTCGATAGAGCTTAGCTTCCTACGCCCTTTTCTATTATATGCTAACGTAACTAAATCATTGTAGCCCTATAACTTTCGGCCAATCTGAACACGTTATTGTCTTGCTTCCCAAATTACCAAAATGTCCGATGTCAGCATCATGATTAGATGATCCACTACTCCGCTTTGGGGCTAGCGTCATTCTTATTGATGATGGATAATGCTTCCATAATCCCCCAAGATGAGATTTCCAAGGTTCTGGAGCTCTCTAGAGTACTTAATCGCAGCCTATATAAACCATTGGACCCTTGTTGAATTTTGCTCACTCTGTAGAAAATATATCTACTCGACAGCACTTCCATTACTCGCATATTATTTGACCCAAATCTCTTAAACTATTAACTATGCCAAACCCACTCGCCCACGCCAAGATTGTTCCCCGCCTCTCTGGCGAACGTGGATACGCCGAACATGGCGGCTGGCTCAAATCATTCCACACTTTCAGCTTTGCCAACTATTACGACCACCGATTCCAGAACTTTGGAAGTCTACGTGTTTTAAATGAGGACCGCGTCGCAGCACGAAATGGCTTCCCAACACATCCCCACCGTGACGCTGAGATTTTTAGCTATATCCTGAATGGCGAGCTCACGCACCGTGACAGCATGATTAAAAAGGGCGCGGAGGCCGAGCAAGGGAAACAATTCTACCGCATGCATCGGGGGGATGTGCAGTTCACCACTGGTGGAACAGGTAAACCTCTTGAGCTTCCATTTTAGCCGACTTAGAACCGAAGCTGACATGAGACAGGCATTGCGCACTCGGAGCAGAACGAATCCAATAAGTCGGTGCACTTCCTCCAGATCTGGGTGCTCCCCTGGAAGTATGGCCTCAAACCCCAGTACCATACAATGAATTTTAGCGAGGAAGCGAAGCGCAAAGCCTTCGTTCCTATTTTGTCGCCACTTGCTGCAGGCCCTGAAGCAACCCCGGCACAGGAAGAGTCCGCTGTTCCTAAGATTCCTGGCACCATCCCCATCCATGCTGACTTTGTCATGGGGGCTGGAATTATCGAGCCCGCTTCAACATTCAAGTGGACTGTTGGTGCTGGTGAAGCTGTTGAGTCTAAGAAAAAGCGAAATGTTTACGTTCACCTACCTATGACCAAGCAGGGCAAGTCCAGGATCATGCTTGATGGTCGGAAGGATGCTGTGCTCGAAGAAGGCGATGGTGCTTTTATCACGATGGTTAATGCCGGCGATGCCCTCCTTGTAGAGAGTGTTGGTGAGGTTGAGGCTGAAGTTATTGTACTGGACAGCAATTGAGCCCAAATTCTTGCGAAAATAGATTAGCCTGCCTAAATTGATGAATTATGTACATTAGCAATATAGAAATTGATAATATGTGCCTTTGTTAGGATCCATAACCATTCAGTGTAGTTCATGTAACCCTCTGTATCGTGATGATTCCAAAGCGTAACACTATGAATGGAACTACTTACCTTCTTAAGTACCCCCTTGCTGTTGATGTTGCTCTCTATCAAGTGTGTTATCAACAAACCCGTGGCTTGTTGAATTGAGATATAGAAGGGGACCAATATCGTCCGCTTTGCTAAGCCAGGCTGAATGACAGTATCAATTATCTCCGAAAGTTGTTGTAATTGGAGTTCCTCAGTCGAGAATGTATTCTAAGGTGTGACAATATAGATATATAGAGTCAAGTCACTTTATCGGAAGCGTAATTTTGGTAGTACGTGTAAATAATTATTTATTTGACATTCTAGTGAGTCTAAGGTATTTCTTTCCCTACAAAGTACTATCTTACTAAAAATCAGGCGAAATGAACTCTATGTTGATATACAGCAACCTCAAAATTCGCATTTACTATGGTATTTTAGGTGTACGTTTTAACTAGGAATTACGTTACCCTTGAGTGCACTGAGTGATCACCTTATACTGTGAAATAATGAGCAGGACTCTGAGCGCCCTCATAAAGCGGCGGCACCCCGATCGGGAAATTCGCATCCGCAGCCTAAAATCTGATACGTACTACTACATATGTATACCCTGAAGGCCTTGCATTCTCAATCGTAAAACCTAAAATCCTAATCATTTCTCAATTTTGTCGGAAGAACAGAGAAAATGGTTATGTTATCAACCGCGTTATGTATTCTCTCAATACTTCACATACAATCGCTTTATCGACCATTCTACCAACTGGCAACCATTATGTTACGTCCGAACCACCGCAAACCACTCCAGAAACGAAGTTGCAACGTCGTGATGCTTCCAAAACTACAGGCATAATCTTAAGTGACACTCCAAATGCATGCGGATGGTATGACACCTATATAGACCCCGGTAAGTAGTCTTTCCAAGAACGCCCGATCCCTCTCTTTAATTCAACGAGCTAACTTCGACCTGTCATCTAGATGATCCCAAGACATTCGCGTGCTACTATGACTACGGCTGTGTTTACCATGTGTCAAACACCGCTTTCTCCGGCCTGGTAGGATGTTGCTCAAGCAATACCTGTGGGTTTGAGAGCGTGTGTTACAATGCCGCCCAGGGCACTGCGACGCCCTCATTGACTTTAGGCAGCACAGCCTCTTTCCTTTTCTGCACAGATCCTATACTACCATCATGTGCGACGTACACATGGCCAGGTGCTGACCTGACCGATTATGTGTGTGATACCTCAACCTTTGTGTCAAACGTATACATTGCGGGAGCATGGGGAGAAGCTGAAGACGGGACAATACTTCTGGCAACTCAGTTTATAACTATGGTAGATAACGATGTCATGAGCATGCACTCCTCTTCATACGACGCATCAACCTCTGTTCCAAAGCCAACCCATCAAGCGACTCCCACGACCATTACACAGCAAACCGCATCTAGCTCTGGCAGTTCCGGCTCGTCGACCTCTGCTGGTACAATTGCGGGTAGTGTTGTTGGGGGTGTTGCAGGTGCCGGTATGATCGGAGCTGATGTTATCTTCCTACTTTGGAAGAGGAGGAAGTCACACCAGCAAGATGGATTGAATGAACAAGGGAATATCCAATACGAGTCTGTTCCGAAAACCAGTCCGATCACGTTGGGAAGGGAATGCAACAACCTGTAGAAGTTGAGGCAAATGACCCTGTCCACAAGAATGCAGAGGCCCCGCGAAGCATCCCTCACAATGTGTCGCAGGAAGCTGGTCCCAATGCCTTCATTGCCGAGCTACCGGTACCGGATGATGGAAAGCACTATTGAGTGTGATAAAGCGGTGTTGCAAAAACAGATCTGTCGGGTATGTACGATCCATAAAATATTATTCGATGCTTGGGAGACAATGTACTCTTATCTGTGTGGTTTTGTTGGATTATTGGTAATTGGTAATGAGAGAATTACAATTTTCTAACAGTGACTTGTGAATACAAAGTGCTAGAGAGAGAAGTTTTAATCCTGTGACGTTTAATCAATTTCCTTGACCTATATCACATGCTGGGTGCTGGTCAAGTAGGATTAGGCTTCAACTACGCGTAGGGAATTACTGAGCAAGATTTGTACATGCAGCCTAGCTGTGAGTTGTATTGATCGCACAAGTCTGATATCATGAAACGCAAATGCCAATCAGCAAAAGAAAAGACAGACCGAAACCCCATGCCCTAGATGCGCCGCTGCGCAAAGGAAAAAGGAATCGAACCACCGACTGATATCGCCGAACGCCAAAGGATCGAATGTAGTGAAACAACAATGAGAAAAGTCAAGAGCCGTAGTCCACCTAGTATCGTCGCCGGGCGGGCTCGGGGCTAGGGCTGCGGCTGGCACTACGAGGATCCCTGCCGCGCTCCTTCAGCCACTTCTTGGTGCTCAATCGGAGCTCACGATCTAGCTCAGGCGAAGGATCTTTGCGGTGAATGAAATTGCAGAAGCCCCCTCGTACACATCCTTCACCGCTATTGAGTCGACAACAGGCTTCTCGGAAATCCGTGACGGGTGATAACTCGCAGTATATGGGTCGCGCTGCGTACCAACGGGAGTTTAGTGCGTCACATGCTGCCTGCGCATCTTCCTCGTATTTGAATCGGCCGTAGACGTTACCAATGAGATCTATTGTCGCGAGACCAGATATCAGTAGAGAATCGGACATTTCACACAAAACATTTACTTACGGTCGTTGTTGTTGTCGCAGATTACCAACTCTTCGAGTTCGCCGTACTTGCACAGCTCACACCATACGTCCTCGTAAAAGGCGTCGAAGTGGTTCTGCATCTGGCTGGGGTTCATCTTGTTCTTGGGGTCGTAGGCCGGGTTTTGGTACATGTTCGGCATGAGAATGGTTTGGGAATACGAAGGCTTGACATGCTTGCGAGAGCAGCGGTCGCCGTGTCGGCATGCGCCAATTTTGTAGTAGAACGAACAATTGACCTTGTCCTGTTCGGTACCGAAGATGGATGCAAGGTAGTTGGCCATGGTTGATTGCTGTCAAGCTCTGGTATTGGGTGAGGAGGATTTTAGGGAGATGAAATGAGAGCCTTAGGTGGCAGAAGAAGCAGATACAAATGAAACGAGGGCGAAGTTGCTTTGAAAGCTGGGTGATATCGGATCCCTGAAGTTTCTGGAGAGCTTGAGTGGCGTGAATACTGGATGACTAAACCTGGGGAGCTGTGCGGGTGGTCGGATTAACTATATTCCGAGGGGTGGTAAAGTAGAACGTGGATTTGGTGAGGATCTTCTATATATACATCTGAACACTCCTTTTTCACAGCTACCTTCTATATTTCACACCTGACATAGGCAAAACATCTAAAAAAAATTCACATACAAAAAGTCTTTGAAAAAAGAGTGCAAAACTCATTAAAAAGAGGTTGTTTAAGGAAGCTTACTTAGGAACAGTTAGAGCGGCACCCGCCCGCAGGTCCAGACTTAGACATGTCTTTTTCTGTACCTATGTAAGTAGGTACCTAACTAGCTATATGGCTTCCTCCCGACACTGATGACTGAGTTAGTATGGTCGACAGTGTTTGCGTTCATGGCCCTTGCTAGCGCCGGGTGCAGAACCAGGGCGAAATTGATTTGAGGCGGAAGCGAGTTGACAATCTTCGATTTGATCTCATTCCTAAGCTAGGCAATGTAGACTAAACATTTACAATTATGAGTTACATTGGAGGTAGTAAGGCTCATTATTTTGAATCTGTCGAATGAGCCAATAACAAAGGGCGAAAGAAAGGAGGAAAGGTGAACACAGAGTATAAACAAGTCGAGTTTATCAATCTAATTAAATAATAAGGTAAAATAATTTTGTGATCGAAGGGAGGGAGGAAGGTAGATCAGTCGTAGTACCAGACGAAGACACTATCGTCTTTAATAGTACAGTTGATAAGAAGTCTATGTAGTCGAAGTTATAAAGCATTTCAATCTGTCTATAGAACACATTTTATTAAAACCGATACCTTCAATTCTCTAAGATCCTACGTAGACTTGCCCAACAGAATTATGAGCCAATTCCAAGATGAAGAGTGACCATTATAACAAAAAGGTCGAGTCTAAATAAAGGTACAGATCAAAAGAAATAAGACGGGAAGGAAGAAAAGAAATTTGAAGAAAAGTGAGATAACTTGGGGTGAATTTCTGATAGAACCTATGATTGTGTTCCGGATCTTCCTCTAGGCTCCCCTAGGCGCATCCTAGTCTGATGGGTTGGTGTGTATCAACATCGGCTGGACGTTGTAGCTGTAATTAATATCTAGGCTAGTTGGCACTGTCAAATGATAGGTTTCTGGTTGAGTCCAGGCCCCAGTGGGTGGCTGCAGGGTTCAACTAACGTTCAAAACAGCGGGTGGTTGCAGCGGTTGTAGGGTCTCTCTGGTGTTCAAACTGGTTCTGGTGGTCTCGCTACGTTTGACATTAAGGTAAATATGCTATCTGCCCTCACATCCAGTGGCAATGCACTTCAATGGGTGTTGGCATGCCGCTCTCCTTCGGTGCAGGGCTCATCGTAATGGCAAAATGACTGTTGCTGTACAGCGGAATAGCCTTACTTTTTGCATTAGGGTGGCTTCAACATTCAGATCATCTAGCCAACTCTCAAGCCGCATGACTTGACTTCCACGCCTGCTAATAATATCACCATGTATTTAGCTTCAACGGTTGACTTTGCAGTGGTGGTTTGACAAGTTGCTTTTCATACGACAGGTGCATCAGTAACAAAAGAAGACATCCAATTCTCTGGTCCCATCCACGCCCCTGTACGCAGCATCCACAGGCCCCAAAGCCCCTTATTTATTTCGGACCCGCGCGTGACCGTAAAGTGGGGAATTGGGATTCGTGAGGATTTGGGCGAGTACGCTTCATAGGAATGCATTATTCCTAACACGACAAGCAGAGAAATAGGAATCCAGATAGTGAAATACGATCTGGTCCACTAAGGATGAGGTAGATTAACGTGTCTATCATAGAAGGGAGGAAGGTAGATGAATTTGCCCAGTCGTAGTACTAGAAAAACAAGTTGGGCTCTTCGACAGTGAGGTTGATAAAGAGGTATTCGAATTGGAAGTCGGAAGATGATCGGTCTTTTTTAATGACGATGGGGTGGGCTTTCGAAAGTCGGTATGTGCGCACTCAGAAGGAAAGATGTTAGAGAACTATGTAGCTACGATTTTATTTTGCTAGTGATCTTGGGGAAAGTACGTCTAGAGGGACATCCGGAGCTCTTTCCTACTATACGTAACACTCACAGCTTAGAACTAGGGCTTTTATCCTGAACGGCCAAGCCGCTCACATCTACTGAAAGCTTTTGCTTTTTGATCATCTCAGCAACGACCTTTCCAGTTCCCAAACACAGCGAGATTCCCCACGCTCCATGCCCAGCGGCTATGAAGACTCCTCCCTTAGGGTTTGCTTTCACTCCTCCCAGAGAGTAATCTCCAACTCTTCCAATTGTGGGAACACCAGTATCTCCCACCGGACGAAAGCACAGCCCTTCACGGATAATCTCTAAGTCGTCTGTGTTCGCCGTCTCGTCGGTAGCCTCCTTTGTGTCCTTGGGAAGATCTCCCATTAAACGAACTGCCACATCTTTGAGTTTTTGCATCTCGGAAAGATCAAAAAGTTGGCTGGTATCCCCGGCGCAAGAGGGAAGCTTCATCGTGGGGTTGTTGAGACCTGCGATATAAATCTCTCCGCCTTCCCTAAGAAAGATCTCGGGACTAAACCCGCACGACGGAGGGTGTGTAGTGAATACAGCATGGCTGATTCCGCGGTAAAGATTCCTCTCGTGTTCCATTCTATACCGAGGGGATCGAACGACCAGTGAATAGCCAGCCAAAGGTGATATATCGAATGATACCTGAGAGGAGGGGAACAGATTTCTGAAAACCTGTGGTGTCCACGGTCCCATACTCAGAACAAGGTTCGTACACGGAATGATTGATTCCTTCTTAGAATCCAAAAACACAATTTTGATGTCAGTGATCGTACCGTTCTCATCCTTGACCAATGCGTTGGCTTGGGCTGGATTATGAAGCTTAATGCCTCGGGAGATAGCACCGTCGATGAGAAATTTGCTCAACCGCAATGGATCTCTGGACACATTTAGCAAATCATTCACGAACTGCTTCATTTTGGCACTCACGCTTGAGCCACTGTTTCGCCCTCGCTAATTTTCTCCAGGATTCCTTCTTTCTGCATCGTCAACCACTCCGGAAAGTCAACCGGAGTGATATCCTCGGATCCAGCCGCGGTCTCTGCTCTACTGGTGCCCGTTCGCAACCAATCGTCACCGCGGGGACCGCCTCGCTTACGTTGAGCAACGGTATCCAAGTTGAATGCTGTTCCTTTCATGAATCCCCACTTTTTGTCTCCGCCCTGTGCTGCGGCGAGCTCATGGTGCAAGTCGAAGGACATAGCACCAAGAGGGGCAAGAGATGGCTCGAACCAATCTCTGGCTAAGAAACCGGCGGCATATCCCGAGGCTGCAGTGAAAAGCTCTGAGGATTGTTCAACGATGTGGATATCGCCTTCTGGTTGGTTCGCAGAAAGGTAGTATCCAATAGAGGCTCCGATGATGCCTCCTCCGAGGATAACAGTCGACATACTGGCTGTTGTGGATGCAGAATTAAAACACCTTACCAATTGTCGAAATGAAATCTTGGTCGCAATTTTTGCTTGTAGATCGGACTTTTCGAGCTTGTATTCCTCGGCAATCTATGATTTTGCTATCCGGTTTCCTTTTGCGCCGGCCCGGGAATACGTACAAGTGGTGCAATGGAATAGCGGGGAGGAATTCCATGACTTGACATATTAGATAATGATACGCGACACCCAACCTTGGAAACATTGAATACATCTGTACTATGGAGTAGGGGAAGAGCTCATCGCAAAACTTGACTCTTTTGGACGATTGTTGAAGTGTTTCTTATGAAAAATGGATCTCTCGGATCACTTCTCTGCAATTGACAACGGCTTTGTCTTCCATTCGGTTCACTGTACGATGTACGGGTTCACGATGTATTTTATATATACTATGTATATTCCAAATCCATCTGATAACCTCTCAAAATTACCTTCCCTAAATTAAAGTTATTTCTTAACCTTAGTTCTCTCCAGAGCCAAAATCATACAGTCCGAGAGCAATTCATTGGGGAAACTAACTGTCCATGGACAATACCTTCAATCTCTTATATATATATATAAAATTTAAACAATTACTTGGGCTATGGCTCACATTTTATTATGGGTTCTATTCCATATATACAGTACTTCGTATAATAAAGGGTGTACACATGACGTCAACCCTACAGGGAAACCTTCAGGGGCTGAGATTAATAAGCCCCGCACTAGACCTTTCGCGGCACTCTGCCACCGTCCACAGGTCTTCATATTATTATTTTTTGTCGTTATTGATATTCAGCATTAAAGACGTCTACAAAATAAATTTGAAGTAAGTTATAGTAACTGACTATCCAGAATTTCTCAATGCTTGAGTTACTGGCTTTATAGAGCTGTTCAGTCATATTTGTTCACCCATGGATGTACCCGAGACAGCTCGAGCATGTTCATGGAACAAACCCCAACCCAATGAGCCTGTCAGCACACAAAGCAATGTCAAAGCCTACTTTCATACATTCTCCTTGCTACTATAAACTCGAAGTCGGCATCCTCTCTAGCTTTTATTTCTCGCGGTGTTGATTTTCTAAGAAACTTCATACCACTAACACCACTATAGCATTCATCAAAATGGCCAAGACGATTATTGTCACGGGAGCTTCAAGAGGTACCGCCCATCAAGTTTCGTGCATAGTCATTATACTAACATCAACCCCTTTAGGTATCGGTCTTGCTGTGGCCAAGTATCTGCTCACGGTACCTCAATCCCACAATGTTGTGGTGGTAGCCCGCAGCGTTGAACCCCTCCAAAAGCTCAAGGAGCAATACGGCAAACAGGTGGCAGTCCTGAATGGCGATCTGTCAGACTTTTCTCTTGCCCAACAGGCCGTCGACACGGCGATCAAAACCTTCGGTCAACTTGATGGAATGGTCCTTAACCATGGCTTGCTGGGCCAGATCGGCAAAATCTCCGACGCTGATCCGCAGCAGTGGAAGGAAGGCTTTGATATCAACTTTATCAGCTTAGTTGCTTTTGTACGGTACCTTCATCAAATCTACAATGCACTACTAACCTATTTTAGGCCAAAGCGGCTCTCCCCGCTCTCCGTGAGTCCAAAGGAAAAATCATCTTCACGTCTTCAGGTGCAGCAGTCACCGGTTACCGTGGCTGGGCTCTCTATGCTGCCACCAAAGCCGCCATGAACAACTTTGCCATGAGCCTGGGTGCCGAAGAACCCGACGTCATCTCTGTGTCTATCAGACCCGGTATGGTTGACACCGAGATGCAGCGTGCTCTGCGGGAGGACCATGCCACAACATTGGACGCCGAAATGCATTCCAAGTTCACTGGAGTCCACAAGGACGGCAAGCTCCTCAAGCCTGAGCAGCCCGGCCATGTCATGGCTAAGCTGGTGCTCGATGCACCGAAGGAAATCAGCGGTCATTTCTATTCGTATGTGGTATCCCACACAGATTACGCGAGAAATACTAATAATTGGCAGATGGAACGACAAGGAGCTCGCGGTTTTCCAGGAATAAGAATATCATTGATAGCTAGTATAAAGTTTTTGTTCATATCTGTAATCTTTTATAGCAAGTCAGTAACGATCGCCATAGAATATTGTGCAAGATTTGAAGCAATGATTGTTTACAAGTCAGTCGAAAGATGAAAAGCAATACATTTTATAAGCATTAGGCGCAGTGCACCTTCATGTTTAGCATGGAATGTAAAGGTATACATCATGTAATTGGAACTGAAAATATAGCAAAAATTTCTGCGCATACCTTTTAAATACAGATGTAAAAGATTTCCTGTTCTCCCAGCTGCGTTCCGTGAATGTAATCCAAACAGAAACGAGTTCCACGCTTCCACGCTACAATAACGAGATTGATTTCCTGTAAAATTCTTCAATAAAGTTAGCAACAGCTTCAAACAAATGAAGTGAGATGCAAATAGGCAAAAATTGATAAGAGTTCAGATAGTCCGTTTGGCTAGGACAGGTAAGGTCACCATGGAATGTATGATAGGGGCGACAAGCAAAGTTCATCATGTAGAGATTGGAAAGAAAGGACTCGCGCAAGAAAAGCTTACCATTAGTGTTCGGCCTTGGAAAGAGTCAATCTTATTTGAAGGACTCTTTCCAAGGTAGTTGGAGGAGAGTGAAGACTGATGAAGAAGGAGTAAAATGAAAAAAAATTCGTCGCAATTTATGTGATCTTAAAGCGGTAGTATTCTGCCGGCAAGAAATTGTACTTAACTCCGTCGCGCGCCTGCGATGGGCCTTGAAACTTCGAGCCCCACGTAAAAGATCAAAGAAATCAAAGCATCCCTTTTTACGCCTTTCCCTTAAGATCTAGCACTTGTGCTTTATTCGTCTGTCACCATATCACCTGATTCGCTATGTCCGACCGAGAATTTAACTGTAAGTGATCTCTAGATCTTTGCCCGCCTACGCGCAACCCTGCTGACATGTACGTGAATAGCAAACGATGACCTATCGCTGCCTAAAGGTACGGTGCAATACCCCTCATGAATGTGTATGGCTCTTTGTGAGCTTTCTTTGAGCTTTACCATATATGCACTTGTGGCTTTACCTACGTGTTTGCTAGCATTTGCTAACTTATCTGTGACAGCGACGGTCCAGAAGATTATTACCGAGATTCTACCACCTAGCTCCGGCCAAACCTTCTCCAAGGATGCGCGCGACTTGCTTATGGAATGCTGTGTTGAATTCATCACCCTGATTTCCTCCGAAGCGAACGATATCAGCGAGAAGGAGGCCAAGAAGACCATCGCTTGTGAACATGTGGAGAAAGCATTACGGGATCTCGGCTTCAGTGACTACATCGCCGATGTACTCGCTGTTGCCGAAGATCACAAGCAGCAGTTGAAGGTATGTGAATAATATGGTTAGAATTGCGACACCTCAGAGCGCAGGCTGACCTCTGATCTTCATTATAGTCACGAGAGAAGAAGCAGAGCAAAATGGAGCAAAGTGGTCTGACAGAGGAGGAGCTTCTAAGGCAACAACAGGAGCTATTCCGATCAGCGACTGACAAATACCATGCGGTCCCAGAATAGAATCACCTAAGACTCGTGCTGGTCATAGAGTGGAAAGGATGATGGCGTTTTGTGTGTTCCACCGGATATGTGGGTCTGGAGTTTTTTTTTTTTGAATGGTTTCTGATTTTTTCCTTCCTCTGATTTGAAATGGTAGGCTGTGGGTAGGATATACTCTAATGATGCGAAATCGCACAATGCATTAGTCAATTGCATATGATTTGAATGTTTAACGGACATGGTCCAACTCTCTAGAATGCCCAATGGCATATACAACGTATATTCAATAAACACGAGTGTGTCGACCATTATGATGTTTGGAGGATGTCCATGGGTCATGTTCTGGCTAAGCTCATAGATAAATCCTACTTAGGTGGCTCTGTGTATATGTTGTAGTGTACTGTGCAATATAATCTACGTACTGGCGTATAGTTATATCATAATCAAACCTATAATTTCGATCTGATTTGAATATATTTCAATTATTCTTCAATCCTAGATGCAAGATATCTGTTAATCACCTCTAGACATAAACTAAATATTCAAATTGATAAGTTTGATTGTGTAAATTGAAGTTTGTTGTTGTCACCTTACAAACTCAACCGTCCAAATGTTCGGAGACATTATTCCCCGTCCAACACCCACTCCACTGCACGTGATTTTCGATCTGCTCAAACCACGCTAAGCCATAATGGGAAGAAAGCGCAACCAACGCAAATCGAGCCACCGCGGAGCTCCCACGCGCAGTCATCACTCGTCGAAACGCTCTTTACAGCCACTGATAACGATGCCTCCCTTCAAGGATGAGCATATTTTGGTAGGTTTTGTTCTTCATATTTTCTTGTTCAAAATTAACTAAGTCATCTAGCTAATTGCGCCGGGCTCGCAAATGACCTTGGCGCAGCTCGGCCTGCCCGAAACATTCACGCCCGCGCGATTTCGGTTCCCAACCCGCATGTTCCCTGCTGAGAAGAAGGGGGAATATGAGCCTTACCGTGTTCATGAGAGACGCCAAGAGGTCAAGGTCGACAATGGCACAGATGCCCCAAAACCGGACGTGGAGATGAAGGACGCTGAGCCCGCCGCGGCCGATGGTACCGCAGCCACAGAGACCACTGTCAAGACCGGCGAAAATACCCAGGATAATGACGAGTCAGCCAAGACTATCGAAGAGGTCTTCTACGAGGAGGACCCGGCATCCGACGAAGGGGCAATCTATCCGATCGAGAACGGGCGCATCGTCGACTGGCCGTGTTTCTTCGCCCTCCTCACTCACATTCACAATACCCTGAGCCCACCTTTCCACACCCCTATTCTGCTTATTGGTCAGCCTGTCTGGTCTGCACGCGATCGCGAAGCAATTACTCAATTCGTCTTTGAGAAATTCAAGGCACCTGCTTTTAGTCTTATGGACTCTGCTCTTGCGGCTTGCTATGGCTATGGTACAGCTACGGCCACTATTGTCGATGTCGGAAAGGGCAAGGTCGATGTCACTGCTGTGACTGACTTCGCAGTCAACGAACACGGCAGAGGAATCGCACTAGAGGGATGTGGTGGAGATGCTATGACCGATCGTCTTGTTGAGCTGCTAGGACCTAAGGGATTTACCAGAGAGATGTGCGAACAGCTCAAGCGAAGCAATATTACTGAGATTTTGCCCTCAGGAACCCCACTGCCTGGGTCTTCTGCTACTGCGCGCCAGGGCGCCAACCCTGCTACTGCTGTCTCGACAGGCGGATCGGATGGAGACGAGTCTGCTCCACGTGGTCCAGGAGACGGCACTCAGACAGGAATTGAGGGGGACAATGGTGACGAAGAAGAGGGTGTTCTCGATGTCGCAGCGATTGTCAGCGGCAACCCTACTGAATACCTTGCCAATGTCGAGAAGGAAAAGGCAACCACCAAGAAAGGCGCAGTTGACCCCAAGGGAGCCCGTCTGCCTAACTCGAAGAAAGAGAAGGCATCCTTCCAGTTTGAAGAGTTTGTTCAGCTGGAAGAAGAGAAGGCAGCAGCCCACGGTGCTCGACAGTACATTCGTCATACTCGGGATATTGAAGTCAGTGTTGAGCGTTTCCTTTTGACTTCGCCACGCTCGACAGTCGGAAACCGCTTGACTAGTGGTATCCTCGAAGACATTGCGACGCAGATCCACCACACCATTCTTGCCGTCCCAGATGCTACAAAACGAAGCGAGCTTTGGGACTCTTTAATTATTGTTGGGTGTGGAAGTAAGGTCAAGGGTATGTTTAATCATTTTATTATTTACAGTTTAGGTCTTCCCGTTAACATTATGACAGGTTTCACCCAAGCTTTGCTGGCTGTCATCACGCAAAAGTTCATTCTTTCTCCATCAGGCACCATCTTCACGTCTGAAATTCCTTCGAACTTCACCACCCCCCTTCCAACCGGTGCCA